AGGTTTTTGGACCAATTTTGTGTTCTCCATTCTTTAAGCACCGGTTTGAGCACCGTTTAAGCACCGGCACCGTTTCAAAAGTACCGGTTTGGTACCGGTATCGGATAAAACCTAAACGATACCCATCCCTACCCATTAGTATGCCTAACCTTCTGTTATTGCAATGTTGTTTGGCATTTATATTACATATAAATGACATGACGAGGAAAGTCGTTACCAGAGGTGTGGAATCATTAATTTTATGACTTTACACTTGACTTGAAAAACTTGTGACTTGACTTGGACCTATACACCAATGACATGGTCCCACCTCTGATAGAAACTAGCTGAAAATGGCTATAAGCTACACTATCTTTCATGTGTGTCATGAGGCTGGAACAAATATGACAGAAAGTTTGAAAATGAATCATGTAACATTGAGTCAAGTTATTGCAAGCAATCTCATGTTTCAATAGTTTAACTTAAAGCTTAGCAACATTAACATCAAGGTGGGAGGTGTTTTGAGGAAGTCAGTGTGTGAATGCAGATGGAACAATGTTTTAAAATACCACAGTAACAGTGAGTCTTAATTAAAAAGAAAAAAAAAAACCAGACATACAGGTGTAACAAGTCACTTAGGTAGTCACTGTCAGACATTACACCAATATATCCGTGTACACATGTTCATGTATTACTATACCACCCAGTTTATCTACATCCAGTTTATGATTTCATGTTTATTAACATCAAAACACATCAACAGTGATATTATCTGTGCCAGGTCATATCTTTGATGTGCCTTGGCATCAAACAATTTGAAAACAGACAATTATCTTACCTTTTCTCTTTGTTTGCTCTTTGGACTCAGGAGTTGCACAACTACAATAAAAGAGTTGAACCTCATTAATGGATCCAGAAAGTGTTTGCTTTTATGTAATTATGTAATAATAATATCATAAACCCAATTTAATGCTTGATTGCGATTAAGCAGTTATTTGATTGCAGTTTAACAATTTCCACATTTACCTGTTGTCCTTTTGTCCCATTTGTGAGCTTTCAAAACAATCTTTTTCAGCCTTTACGTTAGAAGCCATGGTGCACGTTCAGAGTCTGTCAACTCTTAGTCTGAAGACTTCTCGATGTTTGGGTGACGATCTATGCTCTGTTACCAATAAATACACATCATGTGTTATTCTTGGATAATCACTTATAATTAACTGCCCACATATAGTCAAGTGTGCTAATCTCAAATTCATCACATTTCTGCTACATACAACTTGTATCATTGTGTCATGTATTATTATTCAC